TAATGACGACCGTTCTGCATCGTTCTGCGGTTGTGTAAATTTGTTTATCAAAGTGTATACCTCGAATGAGCATAATATTACTATTTGTTACATTCTTATATCTATAATAATATGTCTCGATATATGCAGCTATTTTAATAGACAAACTCGCCGGTTTCGGTAAAAGCTTATAAAAAACGACCGTATCGAGTCATATCGCTCCTCAACATTTTATTATTAATAAGTCGCAGGTGTAATCGAAAGTTACGACAAAACGTAAATATAATTTCAGATGCATCAAACGGGTACTCGTGATGTAGACGATAAAATGGTTTCGTATATTTTATGTACATTGTGTGTAGGTGCAAATAATATGTGTATAGTTTGCGCCGATATTTGTTTGTATTTCTATATATTTCTCTGTAGCTCCCAAAACGTCATGGAACCCATCAAACTTTTAATCTGAATCTCGAAACGTTTTACACAATCGCGCACGCGCACACCCACATCCGTGCATGTATTATAGAACACAAAAATCACATTTCCAGCACAATACACGCCGCCGGAGAGATTGAAAGTTCAATAGAAACGTTTTGAATTACTCTGAGCGAGATGATATTGTTTGTAGTACCATATATATTATAATTTATAATGTCGAGCGTGAGACGAACTTAATTCCCAAATGAATTAACAAAACAATTTAAATGTATTATGATATGTTTGATAATGTTATATCACATGCATACCTATACATATATTTTAAATGACGAGCATCCGATTAATATTGTATATGCGCAAAACTATGAGAATCGTTTTTGCGCACATAAACCTCCCTGGGAATCGACGACCAATACCGTAGAATCAAATAACTTAAAATTTATAGGTCATCGATGCAGTAACTTATAGTATATATATTTATATGTCAGTGTCCACTATTTAAATTCAACAAGTTAATTTTGTTTTCCGATGCGTAGTTGAAGCGTCTGATCTAAAAGCGTATTTATTCATCACCTTTTACCGATCTCAAAAGTTAAATTTAATGTTTACAAAATTTATTATGGAAGCCAAATATACTATTAAGATTTTCCCTTTCCAGCTATTGGTGTAGAGTTTATAACATTGTAAGAAATTGTTTATTATTTTTAATTTTTAAATGATTTCGAATTTTTATATTTTTCATTCATCGACCACATTACAATAATTATTCATGTTTTTCAATAAACAGTGCTTATTATGTTATTACGTGCTTCAAAATTGTAATCAATTGCTAGATATTAAAAATAGCCTGTACGAAATTAAGTTATAAAAACTAGAAGTTACTCTTATTTCGACCTTTACCAAAATAGCATGCGGAATAAATTCTCATAAATAAATATTCTAAATTTACAAACTCGACCCAGCCGAATAGGGCTCGCCTGGTTAGGACCTTAAGAGGACGTGTGTGTTTGAATTTTAAAGAGAGTTATGAGTATTTTAAGTTATACAAACAATTTACAATTTTTAAATACTCATAACTCGCTTTAAAATTAAAATATAATAAAAAGCCCAGGAGAAGCCCTCCGTAATAATTTTACCTTTAATTTTAATAAGAGATCAATTCTCTCTAGTTTTTAAACTAACAATGCTAAGCGTGATCTGCTGAATGAAAAATTTGATTTGTTACGCTCTTGTAAGACGGAGACAACACTTGCGGCTAGAACGTGCTCTTAAAAAGTTTAAACTATGTACCTATCTTACTCGTATGTGCTTTATAAATATGTTAGTTGTGAAGTTATTCATTTACATAAAATATTAGGAAACCTGTAATCTTATAAAATATATTTTATGAGTAATAACTAAGAACACCAAAAAAAAGTATGGTGAAATATTATGTATTGTGTTCAATAGTAGGTATAATCTATTATAGCTTATTAAAATTATATTACATTAAACAAAATGTATGAGGGGCCTACTAGAACTCTTGCGTAAAATAATATGGAAATAACGGTACCATTTGAATGTAACAATCTAAAAATCAATATTTGAGCTGTAGGTACAATTTAAAAAAGTGGCTATATAATCTTACAACTATAGGGACTGGCTTTTCAATTTGGCTATAACCCTGCTACGCTTACCTCTTGCCAATTATTAGAGTAAAAAGTCTAAGATAAAGAATTTTAAGATTCAGATTTAATTAAAATCTAATTATCTAATAAACATATTTTTAACACATTTTTTAATTTTAATTCATGGTTGCTTTGTTTCTATATATATTGTTTATGTATATTTTATGCGTACAGTGTGCAGATTTTCGTGGTACATGTAGAAAATGTAATAATTATAAAAGCGGAAAAGTGTGTAACTGTTCTGCCGTTCAGTTTTAGGCTTCGTGTTTTCCTTCTTCCTTGTCATTGAATAGATAAATGTAATGTGTTAAATACTTAAATTTGAATTCAACGATAAATCATTGAATACGAAAACCAATTTTGAGCGAAAACGCAACTTATTCTGTCTGTTAGCCTGTAATAATAAATAATATATTTCATAATACGAAGTGTTTTTGATGTTGCTATTAAAATTATTTATTTTACTAATAGTATAATAATTACGGTAGGTAAAATATTGGCCGAAAAAATTGTATTTATTATATTTTTTAAATTTAAGTACAGTGGTCGCCGCTTAATGTAATCACTTTGGTACGGGACATGACTGATAACGTAATCCGATTGATAACGCTAAACGAAAGTTAAAAAAGTTATAAAAAATAATAAAACCTGCGTTACATATGTAAGTATAAATTTGAAATTTATAATTTCAAAAAATAAAATAAAACATAAATAAATATGTATAATATGTACGGATGCATACAAACGCGATACTGGTCGACGGGCAGCGACGGTACTGTCTCAATGCTGTACGAACGAAAGGTAGATATGTGATGTCAATGTGTATACTGTATAGACTATAGACATTTATATCTATATTATGAGACATTTGGAGAAAACTTTGATTGTATGTTACAAAATGATGATTTTATGACCTCAAACTGATAATATTATGCGGCGTATTGATTACAATAGCCGACATAATTTACACGTCATATAAGTATACATCTGGCCCGTACTTATATTTTTCGATAACAATAAACGTTTGATGACATTAACCGTGATTATAATAAGCGGCGACCAGTGTATCAATATTGTGTATAATATTTACTTAACAAATTCTTCAAACAAAAAAAATATTGTGATTTAGGTAGGTACATTCAGCTGTTTCTTTTAAATTCAGATGTTAACAAGTTATAATAAACCTCGTGTTAAACTTGTAAGCTTTTTGACCTAGTGAACATTTACAGATAAACAATCAAATGATTATCTGAGGAAAGGCGGATTGACTTTTTATTAATCTTGATAGTTTGAAAAATATATTAACACTAACAATGATACTGAGCATTTTTAATTTCGACCTAACCAGAGTACCGACTAGATCCAGTTTTCTACCAGAAACCTCCACCAATGTTGATACTTTGAGTATTTTTTCTACTAGAAAAAAGTGACTTCAGACACTTTATAAACACGAACAAAAACATAGATCATTATTAAATCAATACATTCATCGCTTTACTCAGAATCTAATAACGAAAAGAAGCTTTAGGTAATGATTACCATTTTGCAGATTACGCGAAATGATGAAAATATAATAATATTTACATCGCATTCTAATTTTTTTTTCTTTTTGAAGTATCATTATGTTTATTATTACTATTATTACATAACGCGTATTAATATTCAAAACTTTCATTTTATTTTCTTGTAACCAGGCACAGCCTAAAAGCATTTTCTTTCCTAATACTCTTGGGAGTTAGTTAACCTGACTTCCCACCAGTTTTCTTTTAAACCGTCTTTTCCTCGTCCACCCACTTTCTTCTATCGCATGTTTGATAATGGAACTATATAAAAAAAAATGTGTGATATTTATGGGGGAAAAAAAGGATATTTTATATAATTTGTTTACACCGCATTAAATTGCCTTTTGTGAGTTATTTATCACTTGGTATAATAAATCTGTATGATTTGTAATGTAATAATTAAGTGATTGGTTTTATTGTTTTTACTATCACATAAGTAGTATAATTACATTTCGTTGGCATACTTCACATATTATATTATTATACAACATAACAAATACCTATAATATATTTAAATTATTGTATGCATATAGTATACTATATTGTATGTATTTGTACGTTGAGGATTCAAACAATAAAATATATTTTAATGTACAAATCCAAATTGTATGCAGGTGCATGTAGTTTATATAGTTTATAACTACTAAACATGTCGGGACTTGATATTGGTCGAGTCTGTCGAATACTATGTCGAGTACTTCAGCCACAAATATATAACTATTAAAGAAACGTTCCTACAAATAATTTAGTGTAATACCTTCGCCCATGTGTAAATTTTATAACACATTACGTTTTCTATAGAATCGTGAGAATTATTTTTCATTGGTTCAGAGAAAACAAAAGATCTTTTTGCATACCTAACTATAAATAGAATTTATGAAATAATACTATACCTATAGATCGTATTTTATCAATTATATTGTGTAGGTTTATAAATCGTTATTTAAAAATACTCCAAGTCTAAAAATCTTCCAGTTATCAATTATTAGTACATATTACACAATATTATTCATATAAATATTAGCTGTAAAAATGTATTTGAACGTTAGTGTTGAACTTTGTATGCCGATCAAAACTATTCTCGTGAAATGTGATACACGTGGAGTTTGTGGTTACATTGTGTTTAGGAACCTATGGAAAAATGTTTATTGCTTTCGCCTTACAATTACATGTTATTATATGCATACTCAATTTTAATAAAACGAATTAAAATCGTTTATCCGTGCTTAGTTGATTCAGCTTATCTGCAGTTTCCATCTTATTTTTAACAATAAGTTATATTATTAAGCTACCTCGGGGTTTGGACTTTTGTATCCACTCAAAGTAATCATGTGTTTTTTTTATATTTTTCTAGCCATGGCGAAGATCTCATCGTTACACCGTTTGCACAAATACTGGCGAGCCTCCGAAGCGTCCGCAACAATTTCTTGAGCCTCACCAATGTACCATCACAAAAGTGAGTATCAAAAACAAATTTATTTTTTCAACCATTGAACTCATATAAAATTAAGTATGAACAGCTAGACTGCTAGAGCATTAGTTATTAGTTGAGTGGTTACTATAGTCATTGCAATAGGTAAATACTTCTCCCAAATAGTTGCTCGCATTTTTTGTATTTTTGTTTACAATACTCCTCCTGTATTTTAAAATAATATTATAACCTAACCTTAAATAAGTAAAAGGTATAATAAAATAACTTAACATGTACAGAACTTCTAGCATTCCATAATTCTGTTATTTACATAGGTACATATGTATTTATAATACCAAGTCGTTTGGTTAATGATGTTTAATGCGACTGACATCAATTCTGTATTCAGCAGCTGTAGGAATTTAGTGTTAACATGACCACTTATAGTTGTTCTTCGTGGTGGGATTCAGATACAGTATCATTTGATTTCATTAATCCATTTAATTTTTAGGTCCAAGTAAGATATTTTTAAAAGCCAACTTGTGTTTGTCATAGTTTGAAATAATAGATTCTGAGTAACTTAAATGTTGTCTAGACTTGAAGGCTACAAAGTATATAGTTTATATCCATAATAAGTCTATCGTATACCATATTTCGAGCAAAGTGAATTATGAAGAGTGAATAGTTTGATATTATAATAGTATTTTACTTTTTAATTTGAGTTTAGAGTTACTACTGACCAGTGACGAAAAATAAACCAAAACATTTGTCTTGATTTTGTTACAATTTGCATTTTTTTTTTTTTTTTGGTGATTATTACGATGATCCCAAGTAAGCTTAAAATCTAGGATATCTGTATATACAAATTGAAAATTAAAATATAAAAATATATATTATACATTATGAAATATAATTTCTCTTCCTGTTTTTTTACTTAAACTTGTAGCATTATTCATACTGGTACGTAAGTTAAAAATTGTGTTTTATTTTTATTTAAAATAATTTTAAAATGTTTCTCATATTTTTTATGGCATAAGCAAAAATGTATTTTATATTTGTTTATATATTGGAATTCGTTAATTTTTAACTGCCAACTGCTGTAATTAAAATTAGTCAAATATAATAAAATAATATGACATACATTAATAATATATTATAACATTGTATAATATCTATGTTATAAACCTAGGTACCTATATATTATGTGATTGTAGACTGTCGTTAATTAAAATACAGGCATCGATAATATCATATGTGTGATGCACGCATATGTATAGAGTCGTCGCTTGAATTGGTAGGTAAAAAGCAAGAAAACCCACTCCGAGATTCATATTATAACTTTTTTCGTCCCTATTTATATATGGGCGCAACTATTATGCGCAACCACGAATAAGATGTAAAAAATATATTAAGGGGAGCAAAAGGTCGAAAAAAACATTATGAAAAATTTGTAGGGAAAAGTTTAATATATATATTTTATATACGTCATGTACGTCATGTACGTCATCGTCGTCTATATTATAAAAATCAGAGGGATAGAGATGAGTCAGAGAGAGAAATACTTATGTGCATCATTTTTTTGCCGCGTCCTTATTATATATAATATCGAACGACGTTCCATCGTTTTTATTTTATTTTTTTTCAAACATATTTCCTTTATATTCTATAACATATAATACACAATGACGACTTATAAAGGAAATCTTTACCCGACCGCACTGCACCGCGGCTCTCGCTCTTGCCGCGGGCGAGCGGATCGCGGTGATTTTCAGTTTTCACCGTCCAATAAAAACATAAATAAATAACGCGGAAAAAGTTTTGTTAAAATATATCGCCATGTCTATATATATATATATATATATATATATAATATTGTTGTTATTATTTTTGTCGTTGCCCGTTCTGTATATACTCGATCTGATATGATATACGTTCCGAAAGTCACGTCTTGTTGCAAGTACTATATAGTCCGACGCGCACAGCTGCCCTGCATATATTATACACGCCGGTTACATACCCATCAGTTCGATAACATAATATAATATTAATAACACTCCAAATAATAATAATTGTTTTACTTAAGGTGTCTTTGATACGCGTAATTTTAACTTGTTGTTAGGGGTGTGAGACAACTTGGGGGCTCTGTAACGTAAGCGCGAAGTTGTCTCAGCGGTTTGTGCGGTCATGCTGAGCTGTGAGTGGTGGTCCTGAAAAGGACGGTTCTATAGTGTACGACCGTGTACCGTTGCAATGTAAATTAAAAAGGTTAGGTCGCCCAAACGATTGCAAACAACTTAAATCGTGACGAATTCGATCCCTAAATAAACTGTCATTAGCTATATTGCCTAGACGCAAAAAAAAGCCTTTAATGTCTCTATGTAGAACCCATTATTTTTCTGTTTTAGAAGTGAAAAGTGACGTAAAAATATGAACTATGTAAAAGGACGTCCCAAGTAATCATACCTTGCTAAACACTTAAACACTAAGCCATCGAGCTGTCATGAAACGCTTTTTTATTCCATAAACTATTTCACTATACCTACCTATATTAGTTATTGCGTATAATATATAAATGGACTAAGTTTTGGCAGTTCTTTTTCTGTCGTGAAAATTATAATATATCATGGTACGGAAAAACAATTGAGAGAGTGGTTGTGATTGAAAAGTTCTGGATTTCATTAGCCTATTAATTATTTTGCGTTTGAACACATTGAGCAACGAGTCACCCATTATATTATGCAGTTATTGATACGAAAATGATCCACGTTATTCAATTATTTTCCAATCAACACAAATGTCTCATGATTTGAACTTATTTGTTTTAAATGCATAATTATATTACCCGTACCGGTACCTCTATATATTTTACATAATGATTTTAATTTCAAACTTCCAGTACCGATATAATAATGAACTCGACTACATTACTTGTTAATATGAACTGCAGTAGATATGTAGAAACTATTATTTAAATGATATTTCAAATTGTTTTACTCCATATTCTATGGTTGTTACTTGTTACATTCATGATTATTATTTTTAATCTTCACTGATATGCTCAACCACAATATTTATCTTTGCTTCCATGAATTTTTAATAAATGTATTTTCCAAGTAAAATAATTGTTGTCTATGTTAGATTAATTTGATACACTATACAAAATGAAAAATTTACTCATGGAAAACAAAAACTTTGTTCACAATTTAGTTCTTTGTCTTTACAATCGTCCCCGCTTTATTATCTTATATTATACCTGCAGTTTACGTTTCTATTCGTAATGTAATACTATAGATAGCTGCAGCGTTATTATATTTTAATTATTTATTCGGAATACTTTATATTTACACTAAAATACGCAAAATAGTAGTTAGCAAACTCTTTTCTGCTTAATTTCGTGTACAAAATGAGTGTAATTTATTCCGCGGCTGAACATATAAAAATGCTGTAAAATATACCTATTATTTTATCTCCTCCCAGTAAGTTGACCTATACGTGGGCCGTTGCTGGGGAAAACTGGATCCCTTTATAGCTTTTTGCGTACGTAATTACCGGGTGAAACTATGATACACGTGTAATAATTAAATCGATGTTACTCACCAACCCAAGTTTTATATTTATAAATTATAATGATAATATAATAATATATCGTATGGCCACTACACGTATACAGGTATAGTTAGTTATAGTATGTATAGATAGGTACGCGTGTCGCATATAGGTGGTCACTAAGGTTATTTTAGTATAATTTTAACATTAAATTCTGTGGGTTATTTAATAATTTACATTGTAAAAGTATTTTTCAGCCTTACCCGTTTTACTGAAAAATGTACCTAGCTAAAAATCAAAATAATTTAAAAATGACATTAATTTATTTTTTATACGCCTATTAACAGTTATTATTCTCGCTACAATTGTTTAACCGCCTTCTTGAAAAACAACTTTTCTTATCGTAATTTCACAAAATTTCATTGGAAACATTCAATCATTCTGCAGTCAATATTCTTCAAGCTTATTTTACTACTACACATTTTCAGTGGAGCAGACCACCAACTGATATGAATATTATTGCACATAATACACACAGAGAGAGAGAGAGAGAGAGAGAGAGAGAGAGAGAGAGAATGAAAGTTGATGGGAGAGCGACGCAATTCGCCTAATTAAGTTATTGTTCGTACATACACGCGGTCGAAAGTACAATTCTTGACCCATGTTTATTCGTTTTTTTATACATTTTACGTTTGATTTTAGACCACACTAAGAAGTATCAAAATACTGAGTGATTTATATAAACGTTCCAAGTAACTCACAACAATGTATATAGCATTGCATTGCCAAAAGGAAATTAAAAGATTCTTCACTGATGTTTCACGTGTTGAAATGCAGTATTATTATTTATTATTATTATGCTATATCGAGTAAATCACATCACAGAGGACGTGTATGGATGATTTGAAAATGTCTTGTCGTATCTTTCACCCTGTATATTAATATTCAGTAAATTTTAGAGCGCATGCGATGCATCGGGGTTTTCACCACTCCAAAACTGTAGGCAATTTTAACGATTACAATAATATTATGTTACTTATAGTAGTTATGCGAACGGTCTATACGTATAATAGCAATACGGCGTGCATCGTGATTATCAGCTGATGAACAGCATCATTAATAAAATATTATATAATTGATTTAATTGATTTTTTATTTTCGACAGGTCTCGGAGATCATCCGGCGCCACGGGCAACAGTACTCCCCAAAGCCGTGTTGTCAATCCCGGAGGTAAGACAACTTTTGTATATTAATATTAATATCACGCTATTTTAAAATAAAATAAATGTGAGTAAGTCGTTTTGTCGCTTTAATTTTTAATTTTCAATTTTTAAGCTCCCGGTATTACGTAGGTACGCGTAAATGTCAAGCTCGAAAATTAAAACTAAAAAAAGAGCCGTCCCAAATGTGTTAATAATATATTATATATTATGTTATAAAGGTACTGCGCCGTCAACCTAACCTTTGGCTTATTATCGATTTATGTATAGCGAGAACACACGACAGTCGTGTAAATTATTATTATTATTTTTGTTATCATCATGTTTATTAATTGTTATTAGTATTATGAATTTCTCGTGTATATGTTCAGCGTTTGACTATGTACAACGTTATTATAATAATATGCGTACGCCAAAGAGGATTATCAAACAATCCATTAGTAATTACATATTGTATTCGCGTTTACGACTTATCACAATTATAATTGGCGCTATTATTTTACGTATATTATAACAGTATTATGTACAGAGTGATTCATTGAGCATGCTCACCCCCATACAAATGGTAGCGCCGTTTAATAACGAATTTATTCAAATTCTTGAATTTTTTTTACACCATTTAATAAGTGATTAAAAGTTCTATTTTTTTTTTCAAAAATGAGAACCACCTTTTTCACTGTAAATTATTTAGTCGATATTTATTTCAATAATTTGAATGTACCTTACCTAGCTAGTTCAAATTTTAATCAATAGTTTCTCAGTTATTAAAATGTTTATACCATGGACGTATCCATTCCGTGCGGCCATGGCCTCCAAAATTATCTTACAAAAATACAAAATAGATGTCATACTGGATCTAGTATTTATTTTGTACTTGGGCTATACTAATATGATTGGGTAAATAGTTTATAGCAGACAAGGGGGTTCTCATTTGAAAGTTTGTATACCCACAAATACACACTCACACTCCTTAAGCATAGTAAAAAAATCGTCTTTAAGTTTCATTAAAATATTCTATAAAACAGATTTTGAATTAAGTACTTCGTTACAAAGAGAAAATAGGGCGATTGTGTTTGGTGAATCACTAACGATTGTCCTCAAAATGGAGTGTATTCTTATGCGATACTTCTGCTGTGCATAATAAGTTTAAAGTTCGTGTACATTATGCAGGCTATACAATATTAGACTATTCAATTAAAATTCGAAATCTATATGTAGGTACGCAAAATATACGCATTGGTCGATATAAATTATATTTCATTTAATCGTATACCAAGCAAAAAAAAAAAAAAAACAATGACAACTACATTGCTAACAATTGCGTTGTGTGTTTTTTATAAAAAGAAAAAAAAAGTATTTCATGTCGTATTATTATTTATTATTATTTCTCCAAATCGATATCGAATTATATTTCTTTGGTAGAGCGATTTATTTCAAATAATATTTAATTGGAATTGGCTTGGTTTCGTTTTGTAATAACATAATAAATTTCTTTCAGGTTTTTAATATGTTTGTTTTTTTTTTTTATATACCTACCCATCTATATAGTATATATAATATATTCTTGTATTTACGCCGCTATGTTTTTCCATTCATTTTACGAATAAATATTAAAAAATAGTTTAGAGATAAATTATTTTCTCGTTAATTAATATTGTTAAAGTGGTGCTACTGTAGTATACACCACTATATTTTATAATATTGAGAAGGATACAATTTTTAATCGAAGCAATTTTCTTTGTCTCTTCGTGAATTTATTTAATATGTTTTCAGCTTATTGATAAAATTATTAAATGAATTGATTGTATATTATACAAAATTCAATAACGTGCAATGGAATTAAATTATTATTGTCATCGGCAATTGTATTTTTTCCACATAACTCATCTGTAGAAATACCGAAGGAATATGAATTTCGTTTTTTTATTTTAAAATCACTTCCTTTTTGTATGGATATAAAAGGTAATTTTAGTGTATAAAACGCAGTGCCTAGCGTACAAAAAAAAATCTCAAATAACTGTGACATAGGTAGTTATTAAATATTAAACTACTCGCAAACAAAAAAGCATATATGTATATTTATATATTTTGTAGATATAATTAAGATATATGGCTGTCGATGGACGTGTGCAATGGACTTTTAATATGTTTATTTCATTTCGTTAACCTATAGTAGGTACCTATATATATTATTATGTTATTTCCATCGAAAACTCAAACAGTCGAGTATGATATTATATACTCTGCTGAACATAAAACGGATTCATTTTAATTCCTTTGAAGTTTCTCTGTACACAATATATTTTATATTTCGTTATGATGTGTTTGTATATATGTTATCCTCACTAAAATTGTTGAATAGTACATAGTCAGGTTTCCAATTCAAGTGAACACTTTTTTTTCAGCGCGCTATGATAAAATCATGTTCGATCGGTACATTTTTCGTTTTGAAATTCCAATAATACATGTACAGAGCTCTCAAAACAACATTTTATTTTTAACATTAGATGTAGTAGTACATTTAATAGAGTATTACATTATTGTATTATATCGAACGCGTATGCCATTGCTGCAGTATGCGTCGTAAAATAAATATATTTCTAAAGAATTTTGATTCGTTATAATAAAATAACTTTTATATTATATTATTACAAAATGGTATAATATTCTTTCAAATTTTCCGTGACAAGTTTTTATATTCTGTGTTTCTAACGATAAGTTGATTATTTATTAATTGACGTTAATTTCGTTTTCATACAGTACAATATAATATTATTAAGTTGTAGAATCTTCTGAATTTCAGTTCACAAAAATGGGGGGAGTTATTATGCTGTAAGGTATGTTAGATTAACTGCACCATTTTTATCACAAAAAAAATTTGAAAGCCTTGTAAAAATAATACTTTGAAAAAAGTGCATGAAGTACTTGTTCTTTAACTTCGACGCAGATCTTCCGATATCCACCATCTTTTTGACTTGAAATACGTACAAATTGTACAAAAACAATGTTTAAATCCGATGCACTTGTACCTGTACGCATTTTGTGTATTGTCTTTAATTCGCAAAATATTGTGAATATAAGTATATTCATACTATTTGCAGGAATCACATCAATATTTTATTGATTTAATAATATTATACATTTATAATGTTAATTATGTCTTTCTATGCGCAATTGCGCAAATACTAGATCACTAACGATTTGTTGTCTTTTTTACATGTTTATATGCATACTGCCTATGCATAATATATTATGTGTGTATAAATGTGCATTATAGTGAATCGCATTCGATTACGTCCTTAAGACGTCGCACTCACGTTTCACGATTACGAATGGTAAACAGGTGACGTGCAGGTCGACTTCTTATCTAATTTTTGTTATTGTTGTCATTATAGCAATATTATGTATAATATGTCTAATAAGTAAAATATTATGTAAGAATAAAATCTCACACACTTCCAATAGGCAATAAAGTATAGTTTATTGGTTAATAATTTACACTATACCTATCAAAAGTAAAACTAAATGTTATTATTAATCATTTTCTTACGAATTTTTATGGATATGACAAAAAAAACCACTATTGTTTTTTATTTGTCTCATTCTTAATTCTGAGCTGAGTATAAATGTTTATTCCCTTTGATTTTTGAGTATTAGACTATTTGTTGACCGTAGAAAATATTCTCAGTTGCAAGTAATAACTAATAACGGTTATAAAATGTATAAAAATAAATTAAGTGGATTGAATGATAAACATGCAAATTTACATAACAATATAGCCAATATGTTTAAAAAAATGCATACCTAATACAACAGTGTACTGTCTATATATTTAATTCGTAAAAACGTGCCATGGCCCGCAGGAAATTCTTTAAAGCTACATTTTATAATAAATATTATTATTGTATATTATACAGTATTATATCAGTGCACTGACGAAAAATAAACTTCATATCTTTGTATGAAAATTAAAATTCTGAATATCAGTATTTGTAATGAAAGGAATATAGATATTATAAAAAAACTACTCTGATTCTAACCTTACAAGTAGTTATTTTTAAAAACATATTATATCAATATATACAAAACATCAGTGGTATTATATCACTTATATTGTTAAAAACATAAAGCCCACTTGTTCTTTTAGGGATTATTACGACCAATTCCACGTGCAATGCCACATCTTATGAATAAAATATTATGTTGTTTTTTTAAAACTATTCTGTTGATTTATTTGTTATTAATATTTATGGTATATTTTATAATTGTTAATTATTATTATGGTAATTCATAATAATATTGCATTATAAACCGAACATTGTTCAGTTGAATAAAATAAAATAAATTCAATATTGGATAGAATATGGATGGTCTCTGTATTTGAGAACTCGTCTCAGTATTTACACGTGCGTTCGAGATAAAATAAAATAAAATTTTGAGAGAGAAGCACCTAAATATAATTTGTTCTATCGAATATCAAATATATAATAATATATACAGGTGCACGCTATTCATTTCGTTCGAAAAATATGCACAATGAGCGGTAAACGCGATTGAAATCGTTCGCAAATATATCTATCTAATATTACTCGCGATCAAGAAGCTATATTCTCGACTATCATTATATTATTATACATACAATGTGATTTATCGAAAATGCTCGCCCCCATTTTCCTTTTAAAATCAATTTATTCAAATTCAATTTTTTTGAACTTTTAAATAATATTTTTGTTGTACTTCTTAAGGAATAAACCTTCTAACGGTGATACACATTTGTGTTTCTCAATAAATAATTCCCTTTTTCACCAAAATTAATTTATAGGGTAAATGTTTTGAACAACCTAATTTAAAATTCAAAAGGCCTTGGTTACCAAAATGTTTGTAATACACATTATAGTCTTACGAAAGTACAATATATGTATAATATAGGATCTAGTATCCATTAAATATATAATAAGTGTATCATCCCTTACGTTTCCAAATCACCATTATGTCCTCTAAATCCATTGT